AATGTACATGCATCTTTTAAAAAAGTTAATTAATTTTTTTTTAAAAAAAGTTATTTTCTTTTTTAACACCCTTTAATAAGTAGTAAAAGCTATCTTTCTGTTTTTAGTAGAAAAACTCCCATCATTTATGATATCTTTAGTAAGTGTATGAGTGATCAATTACGATTACGAACTTTCTCTTCCAAAAGCAATTAATCTAATTGGATTACAAAATAATTGACTTGCTTACCGCCCCATGACTTTCATCACGGCGAACACATGGAGCTTCTTCATCATGTTTTAAAAATGACTCTAATTTTATCATCATGCAAGAGATGAGATGGATAAATTCTTATGTAAAATAATGGATTAATTTCTTGAAATTTTCTATGTATGAGTTAAAGTATCAATTCTTCCATTAAAAAAATTATAAGATTCAATTTGAACTCTTATTTAAGAAAAATTAAATTCTTTTTATTTAAACTTAAAAGTCGTTGGGAATTCCGTCTTACTTTTCTACTACAGTTTTTTTTAAATAGATCAGAATCTGAAGTTTAATTGTAAAATAATTATATATCTCATTTTCACTAATAAAAGTTGAAGATACCACATACATTATTCTTTTGTAATGTATGAATCATGAACAATGCATGTGGTATTTTCAATTTTTATTAATGAAAATGACATATGTAATTATTTTATAATTAAACTTATTATCAATTGGTTTTAGGTTAGATGCAAATCTTGTGTTGAGTCCATATGCATAATTTTTATAGGAGGAAAAAAAAAAAAACAAAAGGCATATGTTTGAATTTAAAAATTTATTTTATACCAAAACACAATTCAAGCTGACGGACGTTGTATTAGTAACATAATAATAAAATTATGATATAATAAAGGCCAATTTTTTTATTTTATTAATGATAATGGCACTTTTTCAATCATTTAATTCACGTAATTTTGTAATACTTTTATTATTAACAACAAATTAAATTATCATTTTTTACTGAAATTATATATATTTTAAGGCTAGACTTTTTTTAATGAATTTTAAGATTGTGCCTCATATATTAGCCTAATATATTTTAAAACATCAAAAATTTTAAAATATTGATCTAATAAAACTTTAAACATGATCTGCAAGTAACACTTATATATAATAAACTCAACTCTTAGTGCTAAATTAAATTAGTATCATTTAAAAGCTAACGTTGCGTGATAGTGGTGCCAAAAATAAAAATTACATGACGAATTACATATCAGTGCGTTTTCCATAAAAAATAAATATATATATACATATATACATATATATTATATCGGTGCGTTTGACCCACAAATAGTGTTTAAGTCAATATCCAACGGTACCTATAGGGCAAACATTTTTTTCAAGTCCACAAATATGCACAAAAAGTTTCTTTAATTTCATGGACTATTTTATCAATTTATAATTTATTAAAATATTTATAAACATTAATAAATTAATTAATTTTAAATAATTAAATAATAAATATTAATTATTTTAATCTCTACTTTAAGTATAAATTAAGAATATAATAAATATATTTTTTAATTAATTTATATACAAAATTATAAAAAATAACATATATTTTAATAATATTAATACACATAAATAATTTTAATTAATTAATTAATAATTTTATTACAATAAAATATATTTATTACATATTTATCTTGTACTATAAAAATACAAAATTAAAAAAAAAAAAAGGAACTTTTGTAAATTACCATTTAACAACTATCATTATTAATCGATTCCGAAGATCAAACTAAACATGTATGATTTTTTTTTTGATAAAAATAATAATTAATAAATTAATTTTATTAATTATTAATAATTAAAAATTCAAATCCTAAATTCGGTGAATATCCCACTTCCCTTGATTAAGGGCGCGGCCCATGGGCCGCGGGATGGGGTTCAACTAAACATACATGATTGTAACTTTTTTGACTGCACAAAACAAAAGTTGGTCCTAACGTGCGATTCCCGACCAGTACACAGAAGATTGCCTGCATTTACGCATAAAAAGTCTCCCCGTTTCTTCGTCCTGTCTTCATCTTTGTTTTCGTCCTCCGCCAAGCCACTTATAATCAGAATATGTATCAATTAACATCATTGGTGGCCTTCATGATTCAATGAAGTATATTATCTAGTTATTACATGATTATAATTAATTATTTTAAAAAATTATAAATGAATAAAATATCAAAAAAAATACTATATAATTATAATAAATATAAATATAGTTATAACAAATATAAATGTAATTATAACCACAGCCATGGATTACTCCTCGTACTCTTATTTCAATAAAATGCTGTGGCTGTTTAAAAAGAGAGAAAAAAACTCCTTTTTCTAACGCTTTCGAGCAATACATAATTTAAGTCGTCATTCTTTTCGTAATTAATTTGAAATATTTTTGGCCCATAATTCGAAAATTTCTCTATAAAAGGAGGAGGAGTTGCACTCTAATTTTGCGCACAAAGAGCTAGAGGCTGCTAATTAAGAGTGGGTGGTTGTCATGGAGGATATTCTTTTTACTAGAGTTCTATCCCCTGGTGCCATAACCACTGGTGTTCTTAGTGTCTCAAATAGGTATGTTGTCCCACGCATGCCTACAATTGAAGAGGGACAGAATTCAGCATTGATGAGAGCAAGAGATGCTAGTCAAGAAGGCGTCATCCATCCTTTCATCTTCAGAATGAGGACAACTGGACGCTATGCGAAGCAAACTCTAACTGGTATGAAGCAATTCTTTGACCTTCATGAATTGCAAGCCGGGGATCGAATTACCATCTATGCTGTGGAAAAAGAGCTGAAGTTGTTTGGAATAGTTATTCGCCCTGGAGTTTATTCAATTGATTTTGAGAAGGTATAGTCTAAATAGGTATATTGGTAGATCTTATTGTGTGTGTATATATATATATATATACTTTTTGGCCACCAAAATATTACAATACTGTATTCCTGATAAATAAGTCTAGATCTTTTGTTTTGAGAAGAATAAATAAGTCCAGATCTTATTGGATTGAGTCCCCTTTTTTACTGGAGTTATGGACGCTTCATTTTGTTAAGGCACTATTTTAACCTTTGTTAATTTTTTCATTCCTTTTCCAGAGTTTTCAACATTTCTTTCTTTCTTTCCTCCTCCTCCTTCTTCTTCTTTTGCGGTGCGTCTTCATTTTCTTTTTTAAAGTTTCAATATTAAAAATTAAAAGTACACTCATCCGAAAAGAAAGTATTTCAACGATAGATGCTCTGATGATTAGACTTTCAGATGGAGAATTTATAGACTAAAAAGACAGAAACTAGCGTGAACTAAGACATTCTGGCAATATATTTCAATTAGTGATCTAAAAAGAGGCAATCTTGTTTCTTATGTCAAAAGAGGCCTTTCTTTTCTTTAATTTCTTTCATATCCTTTAGTTTCATCCCTTAACCTCTACTTTTAAGCTTCCCTTTTTTCGCTTTGATATCACCATAAACCCTAACTAGCAACACCCGCCCTCCTCCAAATCCAAGCCTTATTCCCACAAATCCCCACCCCTCCTTCAGACTAATTAGTTGATCGACCACCCCAAGCCTTTTTTCACTCTACCCATTCCAAAACAACCACTAAAACTTCAAATCCGGACCCATATAATCCTTTTCTTTGTGCGGGAGAGAAAAGACTAGAGAGAGAAATCTCATAAAGAATAGCACACGGGGGGAAGTAAATTAAAAAAAAAAATTATAGGAAGAAAGTAAATGAAAAGAGTTGACGAGGACCCACAGTAAAAAAATTAACAAAACGTAAAATAGTCAGACGAACTCAAAAACTCAAAATAGTGTGGCCTTGACAAAATATAATTTGGTCATAACTGGACTTACAAAGGGGGTTTTTTTTAATGGAAAAACACTCTCAACATCATGGCAGCGAATAATTAGTTTAATGCAGTTTGTTTGCACTGCATTAAACATTTTTATTTTAAAATAAATGTCTTTTTTATTTTAAATTTATCTTTGATTTCTTTTTGTCGACAACTAACCTTATTCTTGAGTGGAAAGAGTACTTAAAACCGATAACATCAAGGTTCAAGACTCTCACCGCTTATTGTACATAATATAGATACCCATTTTAAGTTGATCTTGCTGGCCGTGATTGAAGGATATATGTAGATTAGTTTGATGGTGACTTCAAACCCAACTTACTACTTCATGTGGTTGAAAAATTAATACATTGGCTGTAACCAATTCCGCCTCTTTTCTTTTCATTTATTAGTCAATATTTCTTGACAAGGATGGATACGAAGGTATAATTGCTCTTCCTATGATTCAATATAATATATAAACATCAATTTATCAATTATGCCTTAATGATAATCAACACAATGAGGAAAACCTATATCTGAATTCTAAACCGCAACCTAATTAATTAATACGCTCATTCCTTGAAGGGTTGAAGGGAGAATAGAGATACGGACGAAAAGGAGGGTTTGTGTATGTTCTTAAAACTCTTTTTATTTTTTGATAAATGAAAATTTTCTTTTTTAATGGTTAGATTTTTATTTTTATGATAATATAACAATTTAAGAACAAGCTAGGTTAAATGCCTAAAGTGGTTTATGGTTACGTGTTGGATTGGATGACAGAATTTTTGACTAGTTAGTAGCCTTCGACGACAAGGATATGCAACGATAATTTTCAACTTATTTTAGTATCATTGCATTATTGCCATAATGCAATGAATTAGTATCTGTACATACCATAGGCGAATCTGTTACGTTCAATCTTATTCGTTTCATTTGTATTTTAGAAGTCTGGTTCTAGCTTATTGATGCTGTGAATCAGTGGCTGGTAATTGTTGCATAAGGTTGTGAATTAAAAGAATGGAAGCTATTGTTCTACACTTCTACTAGTGAATGAAATATGAAGTACATTGAAAATGCAAGGTATATTTTAGAGCGAGTGGATACGAAACTAAACTGGTGTTTAAGATTAAATTGTTAAACACAAAATAAAATTGTAAAAGGTTTTATGTTTTGTGTAAAATAGATTATAAAATAAGAATCATTATCAATCACTATTTGAAAGAATATCTCTTACATAGATCAATGAATATATCCCAAAATATCTTTTTCTCATTTATATATTCGTGATTATAACTTTTAAACTTTTTAATTTTATCCAAGGAAGGCAAAAAACTTTTTGACTTGTTAAAAGTGCCATTAGAAAAGTAGGTTTCATAAAACTCAATGGTTTTCTAGAAGCGTAAATCTCCATTATTTTATGAAAATGAAAATGAAACTGAAATGGTCGTATCTCAATCCTCGAACTCGGACGTATTCCAGCCGAAAGCAAAAAACTTTTTGACTTGTTAAAAGTGCCATTAGAAAAATAGGTTTCATAAAACTTTTTTACCTCTAAATGAACACCTAGATTTAAAAAAATAAAAATTACCAATATCAATCAAATACTAGCCTCAACAAATGAGCATAACGACCTCCGTTCTTAAGACTTTGCAACACTTCCTTGAAATTTCCTTTTTGAATGGATTGTGAGTTGACCCTGACAACATTTAAATATTCATCGGAAGGTTGACGGGGCGAGGAAAACGTTTATCCACGAGAAAGGAGGAGCAGAACGAACGATCGGCGGCGAGAGAATTCCAAATTCAATTCTTCTTTGTAACGTTGTAAAAAGGCCAACGAATATGCGAAGGTTATATCATTGCATTATTGCCAACCAACCGGGACAGTATTTTATTATTTTTTATTTTATTCTTCAATTTATTGTTGTCTGATTTGCTATTGTGATATTTTATTTTTTCTTTTATTAAACACCTTTATTTCTTATTTTTATTAAGGATATATCAATGGATCACAAGTAGATCTTTTAATCAACGAAAAAAGATTTAGAAAGAAAATAAACAAGTATTTTGAAAAAAACTTAAACGATAATTTTCACCTCTTCTAACCAAGTTCTCCATTTAATATCTGAACTATATCCAAATAAGAAGTTTGACCAATCAAAAACTATTTCCCACACCACTGTAAACGTTCCATGTAGCTGGCTAGCTAGCATAGTAATTCAATGTGTATTGTGAACCTAAAAGTCTGAGTTTTCATTTTAATCCAACAATACATGAATTTAATTAATAAAGGAAGCTGCTAGGACTTAACCAGTAAAACCGATACGTAAAGTCCATACACATCCAGCTATTGGAAGAGAAAAAAAACTAGGCAATGGCGCACATACAAAGACTTGCAACTCTAACCTTCAGAACAATTAACGTTAAATATGAAAGACAGACACCGATTGGAACTACATCTAACAACATAATATTTAAAAGAACAAGGAAAGAAACACCTTGACAAGGTTGCTAAAAACAGGTAGGCTTGTTTTACATGCAAGAATGATTGTTGGTAAACATACTAACACTAAGTTCCCCCTGTTTTGGTGCCCAAAGTGCTGCTGATGCAGAAATGAGAGTTCCATTTGGCAGATGGCAGTAGAATGTTAAGGCAGTTCTAATTCTTGGTTTTGTGCTGCCATAAACATGAAGCAAAAAGTACGGATTGCCAGCATCTATTGCAATATTAATCCTTACCGCTGCTAGAATTCTGCAAACCAACTTGCAATCTGATAACAACACAACATAGGAAAAATTGCTGCTGACCTTCAACTTTCAGTTGAGAACAATGACGTACAGAACAAAATTGACTAAGCAGTGTCAACAGGTATGAAATAGGATATGAATGCATAACACCCAGCAAGGCAGGTGCACCATGCTGACGTAGAGATATGTAGCACTGTTCTATGCCCAAAGGGACTCAACCCAATTCCAGAAATTATCAACATTATAAGTGCCAAAACCAGAAAACACCCCTTTCACTACAAGGAAAGTTGCTGGAGGAAAGGCAATATGCCCTAAAACCAGATTACAAATCACCCTAGAAAAGCTTCTCAAACTTCTAGCTCTAAGATCAAGCCTCAAAGGTCGAGCCAACAAACAAATCGGGACCAACAGTAAAGCACCAGTTTCCGCTGTGGCAAAATTAATGACTGACATGAGTCCCAAACCAATGCAGAGAGCTGCGATAGTCACTGATTTCAAGAGTGCCCAATCTCCTTGTTGTGGTAGAGATGCATTTGCATGGGGAAAAGGAGAAGCCAGGATTGAGTACAATCCTTAGGGCTGAGCACTGAAAGCAGAACCCAGATCACAAAGGTCGTTGTTGGCGTGCGACCTGGTATCTGGCAGATGAAATATGGAAGGAAGGAAACAACACCCCATAAGTGAATGATAAAACTACTTTTGCTGCATTAAGCCATCTCCATGAGCTAACTTTGATACTCTGTTCATCAGCAGCGGGAAAGGAGACAAAGTGGACTTGTCCTGCTTTAAACTAGAATTTGAATTATTGGCATTGATATAAACAGAAGCCGCCACCATTGGAAGTGGGGCTATGAGGAGCGCAAATGCAATCATGTAGACTCCTAATAAGACAAACTTATTGGGAGATGTTAAGAGGTATAAGAAAAGCGATTGGCGAAACTTCTCAAGAAGGTTATTCACTGATCAGATAACTCCTTCAATCAACCTGCATCAAGCAGAGGCTAAAACCAACTTTTAACCCCTCACCTTACAAAATTGGTAGGTTTTAGCTCCTAACCTTATCATATGACACTTTTAGCCTTTTACTTTACAAATTTGGTAGGTTTTAACCCCTCACCTTACAAAATTGATAGGTTTTAGCCTCTCACCTTATATTATGACACTTTTAGCCCCTTATCTATACGAATTGAAGAAAATAGCTCACATTTAACATCAGATATAATGTTCTACTTGTTGACTATCAATTCTGTTAGCTGACTGTTAGTTTTGTTAGCTGACTGTTAGTTCTGTTAGCTGACTGTTAGTTCTATTAGTTGATTGTTAGCATCTGTTAGCATTCCATTAATGGAACTAACAAATAAAATTGAATTTAAATTTCATGTTTTCTAAAACAAAATGCTAATGGATGTTAACAGTCAACTAACAGTCAACTAACAGAACTAACAGAATGTTATAACCTAATATTACGTGAGAGTTATTTTCTTCAATTCGTATAGGTGAAAGGCTAAAAATATCATAATATAAGGTGAGAGATTAAAACCTACCAACTTTGTAAAGTGAGGGGCTAAAACCTATCAAATTTGTAAGGTAAAGGCTAAATGTGTCATAAGGTGAAAGGCTAAAACCTACTAACTTTGTAAGGTAAAGGGCTAAATGTTGGTTTTTGCCTCAAGCAGAAGGATAACCTTCAGGAAAATGAGAGTAACAGTAAATTATCAAGATGCTAAACAAATTATGAAACTCGTGTACTCCTAATACTTCTTAACTACAGTTAATAACTTTCATTTAACTGATCCTAATTTTGTAAGTTTCAGGCAGCATCTGGAAATAGGAATTCAAGTTACAAAGAGGAATTGATGTGCATGAGCACTTACTAGCCACCTCTTAGAAAGAAATCATTGTGCCTGACCTTCATATCAGAAGTAAATTTGGGTGAAAACTCCAAGGTGATAGCATCAACCTGGTAATCACGAAATGCACCATGTGGACCTGTGGGA